GCTGTTTGTCAGTCTTCCCTGTTAGGCCATGTAAACATTTCCCAAATGGAACACAGAACACATTTCTCCTGTGCGAGAAATGACCTGAAATCTAATGGTTTAAAAAAAACAAAAAAAAACCCTGCATTCAAACACTTACCTTTCCATTTATAATAACAATAACAATAGGAAAGACTTAACAAAATACAGAGATCTGTCAGTGGCAACATATCACTCATGGATGAAACCCACTTCAGGGGTCCCCGTAGTCATCAGGGCTTTGGGAACAATATCAAAAAAAAAATCACATACTATAATAAGCAGTTGTAGATCCCAGAAATCACACCATCAGAGCTACAAAAAACAGCAGGATTCAGATCAGAATACATATTGTGCTGATATTTAACTGATACTTAGGCTTGTGGTTAAAACTTGTATCCTTTATATCAGTGGTTCTTAACCTTTTTGAAAGAAACGCCCCCTTGAGCCATTGAGGAAGTTATCATCACCCCCCTCCCTGCGGCAATGATATCTTTCTTATTTATTTATTTATTCATTCATTCCTTCATTCATTCCCCGCGCCCCTAGACAGCATCTACTTGGGGCGGCTTACAAAATCATATGCTGCTCTTTTCGCCTTCACTGAACAGATCCTCAGGGTTCAGGGAGAAAGAGGAGCGGCTGTCTTTCTGCAGTGCATTTGCGATCCCGCCCAAAGAGATGCCACGCCACCCCAAACCAACCCATTTATCTCCGTGCTTCCCTTGCAACGGGCGGGAAGGTGGGCGGGAAGGCAGGATGGACAAATGGGACTCATCTCTTCCTCCCCACCTGGGTGCGAGGCAGCGCTTCACCAGGCGAGGACGGGTATCCAAGAGACTTTCCTTCCACCTGATCCACACTCGGTGCTCCCCTAAGTGAGGAAGGTGAGATGGCAGAAAATAAAATAATAATAAAATTTCCAGTGAAATAAATAGATGGGAAAACTCTTCTCATATTTAACATCCAATGCAGTAGTTTGGCAGGAGCTGTGGGCTAATTCTCCTCACTAAGAAATGACACTTTGCTTTCCAAATATGAAAATAACTGCTAAACCCCCAGAATAGAGAGAGCTAGTCATGCAGATTAATCTAGTATATGTAAATAATAATAATAAAATTTCCAGTGAAATAAATAGATGGGAAAACTCTTCTCATATTTAACATCCAATGCAGTAGTTTGGCAGGAGCTGTGGGCTAATTCTCCTCACTAAGAAATGACACTTTGCTTTCCAAATATGAAAATAACTGCTAAACCCCCAGAATAGAGAGAGCTAGTCATGCAGATTAATCTAGTATATGTAAATTAGTTCAGACATGTGTTTAGCCACAGAATTTTAGACTGCCTGTTTGTATTTGGGGAGTTTTTATTGTTTTGTTGTTGTTATGATGATTATGATGATGATGATACAGTTCTTTGAACAACCCAGAAGGCAGTCAGTATGTGTCTGCAGCTTCCATCTGGATGCCCTTTACCCTCTTTTCTCAGATCTAATTTTTATCGGCCTGCGAAGGGAAGGGCTAGTTCCTCAGGGTTGATTTTGGGCTGGGCTGGCTGGCTGGTGGCATGCAGAATGGCTTGTCCGAGTGCATACAAATAACAAGGCAATGATGCATTTCTTGGCTTCTGGCACTTAATGCATGATGATGATGATACTGCTGTTTACACAGCAGCGGCACCTGCTGTAACTCTAGTTTCTTCTAAGCCTGTAGAAGCAGCTCTTTGTCAGACGAACACATCTGCTCCCTCAGAGAACAGCGGCGGCGGAATGATGCTATTTAAGACAGGAGGCTGAATATAATGGGGGGGGGGTGTTTCTTTAAAAGCTAAGGAGCTTGTTGGCTTTGCGATTACTAAACATCCACGCCCTTGCAGCTGGTCGGCCTGCGAAGGGAAGGGCTAGTTCCTCAGGGTTGATTTTGGGCTGGGCTGGCTGGCTGGTGGCATGCAGAATGGCTTGTCCGAGTGCATACAAATAACAAGGCAATGATGCATTTCTTGGCTTCTGGCACTTAATGCATGATGATGATGATACTGCTGTTTACACAGCAGCGGCACCTGCTGTAACTCTAGTTTCTTCTAAGCCTGTAGAAGCAGCTCTTTGTCAGACGAACACATCTGCTCCCTCAGAGAACAGCAGCGGCGGAATGATGCTATTTAAGACAGGCGGCTGAATATAATGGGGGGGTGTTTCTTTAAAAGCTAAGGAGCTTGTTGGCTTTGCGATTACTAAACATCCGCACCCTTGCAGCTGGAAAACCTCCTTGTCTCCTTGTCCTATCCAGTGCGTGCTCTGTGCGAATTCTGTGGGGAGTTTCCGAATTCACGGCTTCTTATACTTTGAGAAGAATTTGGGAAACAATTTAGCCATGCACTGCTAATAAAGATGGAGGAAAGCCTCTGAAAAATTCTTCCAGGAAGCTTTGAGGGCTGAATTCCATTCTTTCTGCAAAATTAAAAGACCAGTGTAAGTGCTTCTTACGTACCCTAGTTGTAGCTTAATTCTGTGGGGAGTTTCCGAATTCACGGCTTCTTATACTTTGAGAAGAATTTGGGAAACAATTTAGCCATGCACTGCTAATAAAGATGGAGGAAAGCCTCTGAAAAATTCTTCCAGGAAGCTTTGAGGGCTGAATTCCATTCTTTCTGCAAAATTAAAAGACCAGTGTAAGTGCTTCTTACGTACCCTAGTTGTAGCTGTTGTTGTCAGAACTGGTAGCAAACCCGTGCTTGACTGTATGTAGAAAGTGTATAAGTTACACTGGAACCTTTCTCTGTACAGTCACATAATCATGTTTAGGCATCACTGGAGGGGTGTAAGTATTACCCGAATGCTGAGGTTTGGAGTTGATAGCTTTCCCGAGGCTACCTGGTGACTCAGTGGTCGTAGCAGAGGAGGCCTTTGGACTAAGGCCTCCCAGTTCACTATCCTGCCTTAACCAGTAGATTAATTCAGCACGGAAGTGATTTAGACTTGGTGCAGAAGTTCTGTAACTCTTATTGTCCTGGATCTTGATGCTTTGATTGGTCAGCCTGAAGAGATGAGATGCTTAAAAAAAAACTTCAGCACCAGACCAGTCCACCCGCTTCACTCTACAAAGTAACTTTCATTCTTGTGTATGAGTGGTACAGCCAAGCATGAGAGCAGTGGTGCCCAGCCTTGGGTCCCCAGATGTTCTTGGATTGCAGTTCCCAGAAATCCTGGCCCACACAGGTAGCAGTGAAGGCCTCTGGGAGTTGTAGTTCAAGGACATCTGGGGGTAGCAAGGTGGAGAACAACTGCATTAGAGGTTTATCCTCTAACTTGGTCTGGGCTTCTAGCTTTTATGCACACATTGGCACAAACTGTTTATAAAGTGGCTTCTGCTTCACACAAGAGAAGGGATAAGGCGGTAAAGCAGGATTTAAAGACAAGCTTACCTTTTGGATTCTGCCAACTGACCACGGATTGATGGTATTCTGTAGCCTAACTTCTGTGAATGGCTAAAAGTCTTCTCTCCTCTCTCTCTCTGACCTCGTCTCTCTCTCTTTCTCTCTCTCTCTCTGACCTTCTCTCTTTTTATGTCTGCTTCCCAAACTGATGGCTTCTGAATTCTGTTCCAGCATCAAATTGTGTGCTTATGTGGCAAGGGGCAGAGTTTCAAAGCATACATAGCCCTCCCTACACACGGCTCTCAGTTTTCTGCTAATACATATGACTCGAAAGCGATCTGTCGTACATGGGGTGCGCTGATTCTAAACAGCTTGCTTCTGCGAAGGCACCCGTTAAACAAATCCACAAGCGTCATCCCACAAGGAAGAGGGATTCTACCGTGTTTTAAGAGTTCAGTAACGTTGTTTTCTTAATGGTGTATAGGGCATGCATTTTTTAAACAAACATTATACTATTGTGCTTTCAACATTGCCGTACATGAAAGCATTTTTCCAAAACTATAAGAGGAAAACGTTTTAAAAGGTCTCACTGCGTGGATAGCCTGTCTCTTTAGGGCATTGTCAGGTTTTCTGCCATCTTTTGTCAGCTGATAACTTGGGAGAAGCATCATCTTATTCCAGCTCTGTACTGATGATTGTATTCTCGCTAAGCAGACAATTTAGTAGGGCTTACCCAAGAATACCAGACAACTTGGCTAAGCGAACCTGCTGTTCTGGTGTCATCAGACCTAGTTTCATAAGAGCGCCAGTTGACAGACACTCGGTTGAGCTAAACTAAAAGTGCTTTGGTGAAGGAAATAGCAAGTTGAAAACACTGAGTAATAACTTAAGCGTGCCTTCATAAATAAATGGGGAAACATTCAGCCAGAGTTACTCACCACCCAACTTCTTGCTCATCTTTGCTGTGAAAGAGAATGTGTACTAGTTTGTTAAATTAATAATGCTCTTGAATGCGGAGAAGGGTGAATGGTACTACGTGTTATTTTCAGCCTGCTTTTACTTTTGCCAAAGATTTATAAAAAATGGCGGCCAGACTTCTCCTTAAAATTCAGATGGGTTTTTTTTGGTGGGGAAGTCCTGTAGTATTTCCAAATACATGCTGTATTCTTTTAACTGTTTCAACAGCCATGGTCTTTTCTCAACTCCCCATCCCAGAGTTTTATGTTAAAGGCGTTATGGATCTGTACGTAATTAAACACTTCACTCAAGTTGTGATCTGTGTAAAATTGATAACAAATCTATTATGAAGCTTGGTATTTGTTCACACCCAGAAGGAGATGACTATCCACAGTAAATAATGAGTGGTTTCACATGGCAAGATGAAATTGAGGCTGGAACCCCAGTTAGAGCACTGTTTATTTGTCACCGCTTTGGACTCTGTGTAGTTGAATTGTTCTTTCTATTTGCAGTGGTTTATGGCAATTCTGGGCAGCTGTAATGTTTTTGCAGTCTTTTCGTGAACACGTGTGTGTAACCAATTGTTATGACCCTGTACTGTTGTTGGTGTTTCATCCATTAAACCATCTTCCCCCTCTTCTCATTTTTCCTAGATGGAGTGACTTCTTCTTGAATGCATCCACTCTATTTGTTGGGGTTTGCTTGTAGAGAAGACTTAGCCTCCAGGTCAGGGCCACTTGGTGGCAGACTGCATCGTGGATCTTAGAGCTACCTGACGGCGAGAAGACTGCTGAATCACGTTAACCTGACATCACAGCCGCCATGGTGCTGTCGCAAAGGCAACGGGATGAGTTGTGAGTAATGTGGTGCCCTATTGTATAAAGTCAGTGAGCGGCGCCTGCAGCCGGCTGTGGTTTATGGTTTGGCTTTCGTGTGTATTTTTAATATATTTCTGGTTCAAGGTATGTAGCAGAGTTGGAAACATAACCTGTGAGGAGCTATGCTGGGCTTTGGTAGGATAATGTGTTTTAAAATACTCACACTTTAGAACAAGGTGTGTTTTCCTGTTGCCCTTCTCTTGTAGTGTCAGCAACAGCGGGGGGGGGGGAGCAAGGTTTACCATATCAGAAGGGGACCCCGCATGTGGCCTGGCAGCCATGTGCTCTTCTTCTCTGCCCTATAGCTGCATTTATCAGAAACCTAAAATTTGGCCGCAAAGCGGTAATCAGACAGAGACAATGACAGTAATTGTGGCAAAGAGCAGCTAGCCCATCTTCCATCAGACCCTGTCATGGAGCATGATTATTATTCTGGAGATGGTTTCAGACGTTATCTTGTCAGGTGAGCAGGGGTGGGATAAAATTTGGACTTTGAAAGGCAGGGCTTAAAGGAAGCCTGTCCTCCTTCACTACACAAAAGGTCTTTGGAGAGTCAAAGCATTTGAGGCTTTTGGCTAGCTGTGTGAGCCCCAGCACGTGTGCAGTTTTCTCCTATGGGGAAAAAAACCCAGCATGGTCGTGGACAAAGAGGCCTCTCGCCAAGTTCACATCTTGATGGCACCGTGCCAGTTTCAGATCAAAGACAATAGAGCAATAAGTGAAATTATTGGTTGGGTATGAGATATTTTTTTAAAAAACCCATGAAGTTTTCCCTCTCCTTCACCAAAAGGAACGAAACATACTCTCTGTAGCATGTCCTGTGCAAGGCGAATGCATTGCATTACACCAAAGTAGTTCACCTATGAGGAGAGAGCCGCACCTGGCCATCCGGTCCCGTGAGATTTCATTCCGCTACGTGTGCTCACAGTATTGTTGCTAAGGAGGAGGCGGGTGCTGTCGAGGGATGGGGTTTGGGGAATTAATTGAACGCCCAGTCCCATGATTGAGCAGGAACTGCTCCAAGCCCAGTTGTGGGACTGGTAGCCCTCAGACCAGCAGAAGGTAGAGCAGCCTTCTTACCTCCATGCTGTTCCATTGCTGGTGCTGCAACTTCAAAGGGGAGAAAAGTGGGAGTGGCAAGATGCCCTACGGCTCGCAAAGGGGCCTGGGGAAACAAAGCACCTCCCTCTTGCCCTGTACGGAGACAGCTTCAGGTGCACCTTTGCAAACCTCAGAGAAGCCTCGCCGCTCCTACTGTGCCCCTGCACACCCTTTGGTCAGCTTCAAGAAAAGTGGGCAGAGAATAGCACGGCGATGAGAGGGGGCTGCTCTGTCTCCTGCTGGTCTGAGGGCACCCAGTCCCGTACCTAGGCTGGAGAGGGGGTTGTTCCCGCTGAATTATGGATCCAAGAGTTCATTAATTCTGGAAGTCTCTTCCGTAGTGCTTTTTAAAGAGAACTGCAGTCGTACGTATTATTTGTTTAGGACAGAACAATTCAACCCACGTGAGGTCACTTGCATATTCAGGTCATCCTGGTTTACTCTCTGCTGTGTTTGATTTAATTACGGCCCTTCTTCCCCCCCCCCCCCCCAAGATGTAGGAAAGAATTCAGAAATGGGTTCTGTTACCACAGTCTTAAAACACACACCCCTCTGGTCTTTTCAGCCTCATTTTGCTGCTGTGGAGACAGCCCCTTATGCTGCCTTTTGTCTTGCTGAATGCTTGCACATCCTGCAGTGTAAAACGCGTGACCTTTCCTCACTGAGAAGGAGAGGAGCCATGCCATGTTGGAAGATGAATGTGTTTCCTGGACTCTTGGAGAAAATGAACAGTGAGCTTTGAAGCCTGGCAAAAGTTAGTGTCAGAGGGTCCAGGGTCCATTTCCTACTCCCTGGACCTCTTTGGGCCATGCCTGTCGATTTTTCACTTCTCGTTTTGGTTTATGGCTATTTAGAGCTTCCCTAAGTAGCTTTGGAATGGAGAAGCACACTCCTTGGAGGTATCTCTGTTTGCCGAGTGATTTTTCTTCTTCTTCTTCTTCTTCCTATGATGAGGAACTTAAGAGGCTCCAGGTGTCCTCTGGGGCTGCATTGGTGGATTGATTCCCCCACTGGGTGTGATGTAGGAGCTGAAGACCCATTTGCCCAGGTCAGAGTTTGGCTCAGAGATAGCTCACCAAGGGGTCCTCGGCAGGTGACTCTCCTGCTAAGCCCTACCCATGATTTGGAAAAGACGAGAGAACCGGCTTTTTGCATGGCATAGTTGCAGAGGAGCATTGTTCTGACCAGCCTTCCCAACCTTTGAGATTTCAGCTCCCGCCATTACTGACCGTCGGTGGTGTTGGCTTTGACAGACAGAAGTTGTCAGCCCCGAAAACAAACTCTGGCCTTACAAGGCAGTGAGCTTGGGATATGTTGTGTGTTGGCCTTGTTAGCTCTTCTTCTGTTGGGTGGGACAGCATCAGACTAGTAGGTGTGACCTTTCAGGGGAGCAGGCAGTAGAAAGAACCTGTGCATCCTGTTACTGATCTGGCGCTGCCGAGCCTGTGTAGCGCAGAACCTGCTCCAGTGTCTTCCTTGCCTTGAGCCGTGTGTGTGATTTGCACAATGGGAGGAGCTAGTATTGTCAGAACTGTACTGAGTGCATAGTTTCAGAACATTCCACTGATACTTGCGCTAGGAAGGTGACGGGATTTTTGTAAGCTCGCCATGAGTCCTGTCCGTGATACAAACAATGATAACTTTGAAAATACAAACATAACCACCGATTTCAAGGAAGATGTGAGATTCTAAATCCCTGTGCCTGAGTTCCATTTGATTTAAAATGTAAAATTAAATGAAACAAAAGTAAGGTTACCTCTCAGCTGTACGGCTGTGCAGCGCTGTATGTGGACCTGCAGTTCGTGTTGCGGCTCATTTGGTTCTGGTCGCATCCGGAACCTTGCACATCTGGGGCAGCATTCCCATTCTTTGCTGGTGAAAAATTAGAGGGAGCGTTGAACAGAACTCATTTACTACAGAGATAGAGAATCACAGATCTCCCTTTGCAGTTTATTGGGCATGGCTTTTAATCTTGGTTTATAAGGCTTCCTTTCCTCCTTGGAGCTCAAGAGAGGAAAAGGCCCTTCTCCAATCCACTTTTGCTTCCCAAGGACCTTGTGAAGGAAGCTGAGCTAAGAGCGTCTCAGCTGCTCCAGAGTCACTCGAATAGGCTTCATGGGCTCAGTGAGGATTTGACTTGGCTCTCCCAAGTAAACAGCCCAGCGTTTCAGCTGTTTACGTCAGGATGTCCTCTTAGACTTCGTGCTTCACAACTGAAATTCTTTGGAATGCTATAAATGAATTTTGTTTTTAGAAGCCCATGCAGAATTTGGAAAGGCCTGTCTAGAGTTCTCCTCAACAGCTAGTAACTCTGGCACAAAATTATCTTTTGCTGTTTTTAACAAGATACAGGAATCTTTAGGAGCTTTTATACTTAGCCTGATGCAAAGCCATGTGGCAGTTCTCTTCACCCTACCATCTAGCCACAGATTCCAAGTCTGTTCTTACCTACAGATCCAGGTGAGGTTAGCTCCTTGCAGGCCCATAAAAGGTGGGAATACTGTTGAAACTGGTGTTTCTTGTCCATTGTTCTCTAAGTATGAAAGAGAGAAAGGCTTCAGGGTTTTAGTGGAGAAAATACAAACCTCTTCTTGCTCCTTGCCACCGGTTGTTTGGTCTAAGAGTCCTGACGGTTGTCCTCACCTTTTGCCTTACCTGGTCTGTGTTTCGGTTTGTTGGCTTCGAGCCAGCCCTGTTAGTGATTCCAGCCAACGATTCAGAATTTCCACTGCTCCAGTGGGGGTATTCAAAACAAAAAGAGAGAGGTGTCAGCAAATGTGGGTCTGTGTACCTGATGCTGAGTACCTGATACTCAGGCAGTGGTGCTCCACCAATCAATATCACCAGGGTGTTAAAGGAATCGAAAACTTCTTGGAAAAACTCACGGGG